TATATATATATATATAGATAGATAGATAGATAGAGAGAGAGAGAGAGAGAGAGAGAGAGACGAACGTCGGCGTCGAGAGGGTCTTTGGCGTAAGTAGCTTCGGCGGATTTGCGAGTATGCTCGAAGAGCACAAGGCGCTCGAAGTCGTCTTGAGAGAACTGCATGGTCTTTGATTAGATTCAGAGGTCGCAACTCGCAGCGAATGAATGTGTGTTCACTTCCCTGTAATTGTAAAGCCTCGGTGCCGCCAAATCAACCGCTTAGGGTTTATCAAGCCCACTTACAGGAAACAGCATAGTCATTTAAAGGGTGATGGGCACTATTGGTCCTTTTAATTGTTTCAAGTTACAGTTTAATCTTTATTTTTTTAATTTTAACAAAATAACTTTTAATTTCTTTAAATATTGGTAATCTTAACTTTTTCGTCAAAATCCGTTAATAAGATGTTTGTTATTATGAAATTGGGATTTCAGTTTTTTTTACCTTTTCTTTTTTATGTGAGATTTTATGGTATTTTCATCTTTTCAACGAAAAAGAGAGGCACATGATAGTCATGTGCAAGAACCTGTTAGAAATTTAACAGAGTTAGATGAAAATGTTTTAATTGCCAACATTTTAAGAGTTTGAGAATCTTTTCGTCAAAATTTAAGAAAAAAAATGAGACTAAATTGTCACCTACTAAATAATTTAAAAATTAATAGTGCCAATTACCCTAATTTAAAAGAAATTAATTACATAAATACCCCTGAACTATGTGTTTAGTTCAACATGCCCTTTTAATTTTTAAAAAAGGTTTGTTTCACTCCCTAAATTATATAAAATCGTTCAAAACACCTGACTCTACATCCATCTATTGTATATATGGGTGCAAGTTGGCATAAGGTCACTAGTCGGATGGGTAAGTTTACATCAAATTAATAGTTTGGGAGTAAATTGGGATGAGATCTCACGCGTTGAAGAGTCGGTTGCAAGGACGACGATCAATCTTCGTGAATCTCCGTCACCGGTGAGATTCGCGTGGGGGAGATCTGACCGTTCGACGTTGTCATTGCAGGGGAGGAAGGTGGATCGAACGACATCAAAGTGAGGAAAAAAGAAGTAGACGAAACAAAATAAATTAGATAAATCTATCGTTAATATATCAAACCAAGAGTAAAAACTCCAGTTTATATATTATACCCTAAGTAAAGGGTAGATCATACGTAATTTATCACTGATAAACCCCAATAAACAGAAGTAAATCATGTATACAGGTACCAATAATAAAAAAAAGGAGAAGGTCCAAACAAACTTCACTGTCCAAACTAAGTTCCGAGTAGTTTGTGTTCTTGTATTTGTTTAGATTTCAGAATATATAGAGGACAATCTTCCTTCCCCCCTTGAAATTTATGGGAAATTGACAGAACTTGAAAAGGATACTATTAGGTTGCCATTTTAATAGCCAAGGGTCGTTCATTGCTCAAGTGACGAGGTTCCAAGTAAAGAATATACGCTTGAAAATAAAAAGGGAGGAGGAGGATGAGGAGAAGAAATGAAAAAGTTTAGCTCTAGTTACATTTACTGCATACCGAGTTCAAAAATACATGCAAAATAAACACCCAGAGACTTTCAATTATCCATCTAACTTGTAACAATCTCCTCTCATAGTGTGATCCCAATCTTTCTTTCAGGCCAACAAATGGAGAAGAATATCGTCAAAATAAAAAACAACTAGTGAATAAGGACCTCCTGAGAGGCAAGGAAGAAAACGAAATGTCTTCATTCATAATAAGCAACTACTTGGTAACAATTTGTCAAAACAAACTTGGCGTCATAATGCAGAGAAAAAAATGGTGATCAGCAGTTGGTCACTTGCCCTGATGTGCAAGTCTGCAACTTCAAATAGCAGCTGATGCAAGAAAAGATCTGATTCGCTGCAACAACTCGGCCTTCACTGAATCAGGAACAGAAGCTGCATAATCCATATAACAAGGAAAAGAAAAATCGGACTATAAATTCACTAGTCCAAGCACAATGAAAAACCTCTGTTTCAACAAGAAACTATCTATTGGGCTCCAACATCCGAATTATTTCATTAAATCAGTACTTTTTTCTGGTTTACATCTTTGCCAAAAATCAAAACACGGAAAGAAGTTTCTAAGTGTCCATTACCAATATTTCATTCGAACCTCAATACACCAATTATATAATCTCCTTTGATGCCAAAAATCATATAAGAATCAAAATACCAACGCTCAAACATTGATAAAGTCGACAAGACCCCATTAGAAAGCATTATTACTAATAGATCACCAAAAAATACACAAGTAAATGTAATATTTTAGAAGTTGGCAGATCATGTCTAATCAAGAACATGTACATGATCATTTAATCATCATGGCAGGAAGCAGTAAAATTTGTCGTGTTTTAAGGTAACGAACAAGCAAACGGATAAAACTCACCTCTGCCCTTCGGGGTAAGGAGCTGTACAAGATCATCCAATGTAACATTATCCCTTCCCTTCTTCTGTGCAAACGCCCTTGTGAAAGCCGAAAGGAGAAAAAACGGAGATAAAAAATCTCGAATATAATAAAATTTCACAAAAACACAAGGATTACGATTATCATATAACTTTCTTTTTCAAGAGAGAAATTAAGACAAATTTGATAAGTGGAAAGCAAAAGAATGGAACCTGCAAAGAGCTTTCATTTCGTCTCTCCAACCACATTCTATAAGCCTTTCCCTCAAAAGCTCCTTCAATCGTTCCTTTTCACCACTCTCGATCAACTACTCCACAAAGGAGAATCAACAAACCAACAAAACACAACCAAAAAAAACAAGGAAAAAAAAATTTAAAAAAAAAAAAAAAAAAAAAGAAACAAACAAACAAAGAAAGGCTCTACAATAATGCACCAGTAATTTACCAAGTAACAGAACCTAATTAGGGCCAACTAAAAAAAAAAAGGGATGAAATTCAACAAAATTTAATTATGCAATTGAGAAATCTAATGCCAAGGAATTAAAATGGATTTATTGGTATAAGTCTTTCACAATAAACTGATAACGGAAAAAAAAAAAAACCTTGATGTCGATAATCTCTTGGAAAGTGAGCTGCTTTTCTTGAATTTGATCGTCCTCTGCATCCGGAGTCGGAGGCCGATTGATCGAACCCCTCCTGTATATATCATCATACATAAAAAAGAATTAATGGAAATTTCAGATAGTATACACACACATATATGTATATATAATATTTTGGCAATGCAAGGAAATAATTAAAATGGCTCACATTTTTAAGAGTATGATATTAGGGGATTCTCGGGCTTTTAGCTCCTCAAACGCGGAGACGATTTTCTGAGGAAAAGAAAACTTGGTACTTTGAATATTTGAGCAATTCAATTCAACTATGTACGTGGGTGTTTAGAGCTGAAGACAGAGAAGGAAAAATCCGCTGCATCGAAGTCTGGAAATCCACCGTCCTTCCTCAGCATCACCGTTCTGCTTCGACGACAAACAAAAACCCATATCGGTCAGCTAAAAAGAGAAATGAGAAACGACACTAAACCGGCAGGAAAAACGACGGCAATGAGAGAAACGACGAGAATGGACAGCTATGAATCTATTACGGACTACGGACAATATAAGAAAAAAAAAAA